TTTTTTTTCCCTTAAGATATTGTCTAAAGTTAATCTTACCAAACTGTAATACCATCTAACTCAATTCCTACACATAAATACACATACCTGCATATATATACATATGTACACACATTCTCAAGTTCAGATACATGTAGATACTCTCTATTCAAATCAATTAATCACCACTTTTTGTGTAATATTAATTTCTGCTATCAATTAAGAGTTAATAATAACCAATACAGCTCTACATTGTCCAATTTGTACATAGCATACAGTAGTTGTAAACTCAGGACTCAAGTAATCAGCACTTACCTTATCAAGTTCATTTGAAAGTTTTTTGTTTTCCTCTGTTAGCAGAATCTTTTCTCGTTCATACTTCTGTCTGAACTCTGTTTCAAATTCCTCTCTTTCACTTTGGCTAAGAAATAAAATGAAGTAGAATAAGAAGTTTCCTATTCTAAAACTCATCACACTGTTCACTTAAATACATAAAGATCAACGCACACACTAGCTGAAAGGAAAGTACTACATTGGTAATACCACAGCCTATTAAAACTAAGAAAGTAATGTATTGTACTACCATCTCAGGACTATAAGACAGTCTGTTGAATTTTATCATTAGACAATGATCTTTCCTTCAGTACAGAATTAATAGAGCTCCACTGAGCTAACATTTATCAATCCACTTATACATATTTTATTCTTTAGATGAATCCTTCAAACATCGAACAGCTGTAATTCTGCAGACCGAAGTGTGTGTCAATATTCTAAGACACTCACGTAAATTCTCAGCTCACAGAAACATTATTTTAAATTAGACATTTCTATAATTCCAAGTTTCACACAGAATGACAGGCAAAAATGACCACATATGAAACCAGAACACACAGAAACTACATTAAAGCACTTGGGGCTGGGTCTCTGATAAGAAAAGCTTATACGGGCTAGTCTTTGGACAATTTAGAACAGCCAGAGGACACATTTGAACTGTTAATTCCGGTACCATACATTTACTATCAGCAAAAAGTGGATGGATAACCTATACAATCCTACTACCACCAGATTCTAGAGCAGGTTTGGACCATTCTTTCTGAGAAAGAGTTTCAAAGTAGCTGTTTCACCCAACCCTTCCCTTCTCCTGTGGATGTCATTCAGTAGAGGAGAACCCTTGGGTGATTCTGCTTAACATCAACTTTGATCTTGCACAATGAATATAAGAACCTGAAAATAAATGAAGCCGCAGGTCCTCTGTTTGCTAAAAAACATTGTAATTTCCTTAAAGTAGTGTATGGCAATGTTTTAGATGTATAACTCCCACCTCACAACCACTCTTTTGAGACTCACTACATTTGCATCTTGTATTCACCATTTCACCAATTATTCAGCTAACCGGCACAAAGTTCATCAGTAGGTTGATGGAATTATACTATAAATGCCACAGATACAGTAAATATCCATTCAGCAAATACCACTGTCCAGCCTTAAAAGGTTTGAAAAAGTGCCCAGTGTAAAAGTTTAACTCTGTAAAAATAAAATCCAAGAGAAACCTTGTCTTGAGCATTGCAATTTTTTTTCTCTATACCAATCAGAATTTTACATTGTGCAACAGAGAAATTACATCCTCACCTCTTTTTCTGAGATGCAGAACTACTACAACTCTGCCAAACTGAGTGAACACCCTTAAAAGATGAGAAGTGTCAGTGGTTACAGTGAACCCAGTTAAGAGTAACACTGGTTTGAATTTCCTATTCTTAATTTGAAATTCATTTAGTGCTTCAACCACTCTTTGAAATCTAGTACAGCATGTTAGACTCATGGTGAAATTCTGTGTTGCTAGGCATCCTTTGAAACATAACACTACATCCTAACAAAGTAACATACTATCGTTACTGTTTAAACGCCAAGTTTGAAATTCACCACCGCTCCTTTTCTATATCAACAGATTCCATGCATATGATGAGCAGTCTAGGGAAAAGGCAGGAAGAGATTAAAGCATTGGCTGTCAGGGGAATTAATAACAGGTGCTGCTTCTGTTTGCAAGGCATAGATTCAAAGCTAATTTCTCAGACAGTAGAAAAAACTAATTTTTAATTAATTTCTTTTATTTAGCTTTCATGGTTTTATTTAGGGTTTTTTATTCTGTATTTGTCTGAAATTTGTTCTTTTAAGGCTTTAAGGCTCAAAGCAGCCGTAAATGGTGGTGGATTAAGGAAGCTTTGGACTGGTAAAAGAGTCCACCATATTTGTAGCTTTCTGTATTTTACGTTCTTAATTCAACTGGTGATTGTCACTAACCCAGTAAGTCAGATTGCTATAGTACAAGACAGAAACAAAGAAGATAAGTTTTAAACAGAGGAGAATGTGGGTATAATCTGTCATACCCAAATGATAGACATTACTCAGCAAACCGCAGAACTGTGACAGACTCCATAGGCGTACCTTGGACAGCCAGGAAGATCAAAATAACACATTCGCTTTGAAGCCTGGCATCCTCCTGTCCCATCAAGCTTTTTCTCTCATCTAAAATTTAGCTATGTATCTGCCCTTCAACTTTAAGAAATCATACATGATCGAGCTTTCTTTTTATCAGTACAATAACTGCAGCAAACCACATGCAAGCAATGTGAAATACATCTTTATGGTATCACTTTGTCACTCCAGCTCTTTATTGCAGCTGTACAAAGTGGAGTAATATTTTATCTTACTGCTTTGAAACCAAGAAAAGTAGACCTGAAACAAACACCAGCCCCCAGGCTTCTTTACATCACACAGTTTAAAAACAGCAAACGCTGTTTTATAAAGCTCTCTGCTTCATAAATCTATCATTAAAAGACAGGCTTAAAATAAACTTCTACAAACACGATTTATTTTACACAGTTTCTTGTACCTTCTTCTGAAGTATTTCATAATGACAATTCTAAGAAATGGAATATCGTGCTACACAGATCACTGGCCTGATACCGTGTTCCTACGTTCCCAACTTTAATAGCATGCAGTTTATCAGACTTTAGCAAAGGGCAATCGTTTTGTACAGAAAGGTAGTTTCTCTCCCTTGAAGACTTATGCTGTTGAAATAGCAAAAGTAAGAAAGCTTAAATTTGAAGGAAACAAAGAAAAAATACCCATTTTAAAAAAATGAAACAGAAACCACCAGCATGTAAGTTACATAAAAAAGTACACACAGATTTTGACCAAGCCCTTATTCACTCTATACTATAGCCTCTATGAAGTAATGCAACCGCATCCTCTTATCAAAGCCTTCTTTTTTAAATATGCACTAAAGATTATTTTTAGACCACTAAAATTTTTTCCCAAACTGTATACGCACACTTCAACCCCACACCCACCCCATGCCTATTGTTGAAATAATTCCACTTATTTCAGCATAAAGCCTCCAGGTGCTTCCTTTTCAACACTGACATTGAACACCTCTGTACTGGCAGACTCACTAAAAGCTAAAAACAGTATGTGTAAGCAGAAACAAAAAAAAAAAAAATCCATGTTCTCTTATGAAAAACTACCAAATACTGAGAATCGAGCAGCAACAGCATTTCTTCCATTCCTAATATTTAAGCTTCCCTTCTAAATCCCTGAACTACTACAGAAGTCAATCTGTAGCACACCTTGAACAGTGGACTTCTGCATTTCTGTGGAGTCCTAATACTTGCGTGAGATTCTGCAGATCTCTTTAACAAAACCCAGTTAAGATCAGGTCTTCGTTAATCAGTCATCGTGTGCTTGGACACCTGACTTCATATGATGCTGAAGCCCTTCCCGTTACGAGCCAAATGCCGGATTCTGGTTATGTGACACACTTCTGTTCATGCTTTAAAATGTTCTCTTACACCAACACTTGAAATACATACAGAAACACACAGTTACGTCAGCACTCATTTTAGATTTGCATCCAGTTCTTTTTTTATTTATAGAGAGAAACTAGACTGAAAGAAGGTGTATGAACTAGCTAGCATGAAGCAGATCAGCATTGTTAGGCCGTTTGTTACTTCACTAGATAGCTTATGCCTACAGTAGTCCGATGACTGATGTTAACACTGGATGGAACCCAGCATGGATTAGCCTTAGTCCGCATTAAGTGACTGTTCCTGTGCTGGCAGAAAAGCAAGCAATAGTTGATCTCCAACACATTAGTTTTGCATCAAAAGATGAAAATACCAAACAGAAAAAGATGTCAAAAAACTATTTTAAACTGCAACATAAGCTTCAGGGGTTGACTTACCCTGAGCTGAAAGTCTGCAACTCAAGTTACATACCTTGGAATGGTCAGCCAGTGCAAGAATTCTGGTGCAAAATTAACTGTTTCAGCACAGGGTTGTGGATTTTTTTTTGTTCTGCTGTATTTTTAAAGGTGACTATTTTCAAACCTGGCATTAGCTCAGCCAAAATGCACCTGTCTGCACTACAGTTAAGGAAGCAATAGTGTGTTTGGAAACATACTAGGAGACTTCAAAGATATTTTGAGCTTAAAGGTAAATTCCATACAATACTCACTTTTCTCTTCTGGTTTTCTCTAGCTTGTCTTTCAAAATCATGATCTCCTTCTTGAGGGCAAGCTGCTGGCTCTCTGCATCCCGTAGTTCTTTCTTCAGACTTTTTATTTCATTAGCATGTATTATTTCACGTTTAGATAGTTCCTCTTCATAGAAAACACTTTTCTTTTCCAGGTCTGCCTTTAATTTAGTGATCTCTTGCTGGTGTTCTATACTGCTTACCCCAGGTGAGCGACCAACCTGTTTTTGCTAAAATAAACAGCCCCAAGTTAGCACTCAAGAATGCTGAAAATTATGCTTAATAACAACTCAATATTCATAAGTCTATGTTTAGAAAATATCCCATTACAGATGAGTTAAACACATCTATCTCAGCTTTTCTGAAAATTTGTTAAAGCGTAAATCTGAACTGTGCTCTTTATCATTTTGTGATTTAAATGCAGTAATAGTTTTCAAGCCATTGAAAATTTGATCATCACTTTAAACATCTCGGGCCACATTCTGACTCCCCTTACATCCCGTCAGAAAGTGACCACAGAATTAGAAGATTTTTATGCTCCCACTCACATGGTTGACAGCAACAAGTTCAAGTGACTTTCAGGAATGGAGAATAAGGACTATGATATGCAGTTAATATATTTTAAAGCACGAATAATTTGTGGAAAAGCTATACTAAGACAAACAGAGGCTTAACTGAAGGCTAAAATCTAGCTACAGCAACACTATATGGATTGCACTGATCAGGAGGGAAACCTGACCTATTTTACTCGAACTGACCATTTACATCATGGTGGATTAATAGGAAAAACAAGCTTTAAACAATAAGAGTAATTACTTCACTTTTCGCAGCTGCATAGCTCTCTTAGTGAGGTCTTCTGGCATTTCAATAGTCTTTACACATTGCTTCAGGATACATACACATTTGCACCAAATGCTGCACTCACTAAACTCAATGTCCTGCCATAACATAGAGGAGGAGCAAGATCAGGTTCAAAATGAGATAGTGGCATGACATGCACTGAAATCGAAGTATGGAAATACTTTTTAATGTAAACACATGTATAACTTGGTTTGGAATTTTTTCTATTTTTTTAAATATGTAATTAAAGGTAGTCTAATGAAAGGAAATTACTTAATAAAAACACTGTGTTTTGAGAAAGTACAGGTAACTGGAATACCTACTTCCTTACGGCGACTGTCTCACACCTTCAGGAGGATCAAAGATATTTTGCTAATTTTACCTCCATTCTTACCATGAGATATTAAAATCCTCCCAGTTACCCTTAATTAAACATGGCTTTGGGCAATTTTCTTTTGCTGATGTATGAATGGATTTTAAGAGCTTAATGTTATTGTAGAACACTCAGATGAGCCGAATTTCTACCATGACGAATTCTATGAGAAAGCTGGGCCTTGCTGCTAGTGTCAGCAGAACACTGCAAACCCCCCTAAATGTATGAGCCAGATATGTGCTGCTACCACATTGTTTTCTCTAACTCATCAAAACGACCATCTGTTTTGATCTAAGAGTAAAATCCTGCCCTTAGGATGCAGAATGGTAAATTGGAGCAAGAAGATGCCATCCTAACAGGAGACGGTTTGAAGAAAGAAAGATTAAAAAAAAAAAGAAAGGAAGTATAGGAATTTTCTGTCATGCACAGGCAGTTAACTACCGAACTTGTTTGCTACTGCCCAACGTGCCGAATTGCCTACACACGTATACGGCAATGGAGCACGTAAAAAGTTTAGGCCTTGCAATATCAGCTATCAGGTACGTAAAATGTTTTAATGGTATTTTGTATTTTTTCCACAATGAAAAGATACTATTATGACCATAAGACATGGTGCAGTAAAAGAGAGAGCTGGATGGTATTGTACAGCGGCTTACAGAACTAGAGTAATATAGTAAACAGAGAATATATTTTGAATGGATGCCAGCACAAATTCCAAATAGATGTTTTCATACATGCCTGTTTCAAGTGGACAAATGGTGCAACTGAGACATAATGCATCTCCTGGCACATAGATAGTTAGATGCCATCACTCTGCGCTGGAAGTCTTGCCTCTCTCCCCCTCTCATGCACACACACAGACACACACAAAAACCCAAATAAAAAAACCTCCACACAGCAGCTCTTTCATTAGGCAATTATGAAGCTGAATAGTCCAAACTGACAGCAGCGTTGTAAATATTACTATATGTATTGACATGTATATCACGTACTATGGTTACGATAATTGCAACATTAACAGACATCAAGTTTTGCACTTGAAGAATAAAGAAGAATAACCATTAAATACTGCAATAATAGAGCAGGTGGCATGGGAAAACTTACTATTTAAGTAACGTAATCCTAAATGAACATACCATTAAAAAATCTTGGAAGACTTCTGGCTTGACTTTAATGAGATTAGTCTTTTGTTACAAGTGCTATTTTGTGTTGCTTCAAGACTTGTATCTTGCCCTTTGCATTTGGTAATAATAATTTACCTTGGTTAAGAATATGAAGAATCTTACTTAGGATTGTGATGGTAATAGCCCAAAGTTTTATGGTATAAATATTTGCCAAATGCAACATATTAAGAAAGATACAATCTTCCTTATTACAATCCTATTAATTATTGCTTATGTGGATTACTGTATTATTCCTCTCAATTTAATAATTTGCTGTTGCTCAGGTAGGAAGGAAAGAGTTGAGAATTTCATTTTCAATATGCTACCTAAATATTTAACATGGAGAAATTAGTCTAAACTTGCTTAAAATGAACTTACAAAAGAATACACAAAAAAATAAACCAGCCATACAAATTAGCATGAAAAATTGCCTAGTTGGCTCAAAACAGACTCACCCAACACACCTTTTCTGTATGTGTAATTCAATCCAGAAACAGAATTTTAGCTGTCTGAATACACACCTAAGGCTTTATAACTAAGTTTACTGAAGTCAACAGCAAGCGTAAGATCTTCAAGCACACCTATGAAATGCCCTAAAAACTAACAATAAATACGTCTATCTACTGGTGAAGAACAGAGAGAGGTTTGTAGGTATTGTAATATTGCTTTGATGAAAATTAAAGCCCTCCTCTTCCGTTGTTACGTATAGCTGTATTTTTCAACTTTAATGGAAGCTTGATTAGAATCAGAAATTTATTGCAAATGGTAACTGGTTTCTTTTGGTACCTTCCTCCACATGTGGTCCAAGTCATTAACTTCTTCACTTACTCATACTGTATGCTTTCACTACTCTTACCATTCCAGTATCGCATTCAGCTTCACTGTGAAGAACATGAGAGATGCCTTACTGGGTCAGACCAGTATCTTTGCTAAAGCAGTGGCTATTTGGGGACAGCACCCAGGCCTGCCTTTTTTATGAGGTCCATTTCCCTTGGAATACAACAACTCTTGGACTACAGGTATTAGAGGGGACCTCTCAGCATAGTCAGGCAACCTGATGTTCATCAAGTTTGTCTAATCCCTTTATGAATCTGCCAAAACTGTCACAACCAAACTCCTGTGGCAACAAGTTCCAGGAATTCACTCCCCATTCTGTGAAGAAATACTGTATTAAATGCATGTCCTGTTTGTTTCATCAGTGCCCCTCGGTCATAGTACCATAGGTACATAGGTACAACAGTCATTTCCATTCGCCTTATCCACTACCTTCGTGATTTTGTAAACATTAAACATCATTTCCCCTCAGCTTCTTCCTGACCAAATTTAAAAGTGACATCCAGATAGATGTTTTCATGACTGTTTCAAGCGAGACATAATGCATCTCCTGGCACATAGATAGTTAGATGCTGTTTAATGCGCCCCAGGATGCAGTTTGGCCTATTGGCGGCCAGGGCACACTGCTGACTCGTATTGAGCCCGCTTTTTTTGAAAATCCAAACACATGACATCCACTGGATCTCCTTTATCCACACACTTACCGACAACTTCGCAGAACCCCAGCAGGTGAGTGTTGCAGGACTTGGCTGGACAGAAGGCACACTGCCTCTTTCCCAACAGGCTCTGCTTCATCCATGAGCTCACTGACCTTATTCTTTACTACAGCCTCTACCCCTTTCCTAAGGAAGTCACACCCACTCCTCTGCGGTTCCCAGGATCTTCTGGATGAGAGTTACAGTGGCACAGCAGGCCGTCTGTAATAAGAGGGTGCACGTCTTGGCCAGCAGTTCTCTTACTTCTCACCCGAGTTCCTTCAGAACCTCCTTGGCGAGGCCACGGCTCCGGGCGACTTCACACCTGACTCACCTGCCAGCTCTAACGCTTCCTGCACGTCATCCTCAGACTGATCCAGCTCATCTGACCAACCTGCTGCACAGAATGCACTCTGTGTGGCAATCTCCCCTGCTTCAGCAGTAAAGTCTGACACATCAAAAACTCATTGGGCGTTTCTGCCACAGCCCTATCAACTCAGAGATTACCTTTTTCATCCCTGCCAACAAACAGCCCCATGAGTTTCCTAAGGTGGCTTTCTGCTTTTGATTTCAAGAACTTCCCGCAATCACTCTGAGCATCCTTTGCAAAGTGCTTTCTAAATCCCCTTTATTTAGCCCTCAACATCCTGTTTACACTTAACCTGCCATCATTTATGGGCTTTTCTGTTCTCCTCATTTGGAGGAACTTTCCTTTTTTCTTTAAATATTGACCTTTTCTCTACGATAGCCTCCTGAACTTAACTCAGGAGCCATGCAGAGCTTTTACTGAATTGATAATGCAGTATCACAACAACCGCACGCGATCCAAAGTGTGCTTACTGCACTGTGAAACATTACTAAGAAAGCTGCAAGTCCCCTCTCCTCTTCTGATAAACTTGCCCAGTTGTTATAAATCAGCATATCATTTATTCTCAATAGATCTCCAATAAATTCCTCTCGCCTCAAACTGTCATACAAACTCTTTGCTGACAGTGAAGATTCATGAAAGCAGAAGAAACACATCTTAATTTTCAGGTAACAATCTGAATCACAGCAGCAGCAGCTTTATACATCCAATTTCATATTGAATGGATTTCCTTATTTTCAATTAACAAAGGAAGGCAAAATAAAAGAATGTTTGCAAAAAAATCCCGAATTTTCTGTGCAGTGACTTAAGTTGACTGACTAACCTGACTTAAGCTGACTGACTAACCTGCCAGCTCTAACGCTTCCTGCACGTTATCCTCAGACTGATCCAGCTCATCTGACCAACCTGCTGCACAGTATGCACTCTGTGTGGCAATCTCCCCTGCTTCAGCAGTAAAGTCTGATACATCAAAACCTCATGATGTGAGTGTCCCACAGAATGTCCCACAGAATTCTAATAAACCCCTCCCCCCATTATTCATGTAAATTAAGACCAGAATAGGCCTAATCTGACATTTTGCACAAAAAGTTTAGAATTATCCTACTGGACGAAACATTGGGAACAGGATTTTACTGTAAATGAACAGCAATCCTCATGTGGAAACAAAAAAACCCCTCTCATTCATTTTTTGAGAAAGTGTAATTTCTTCAGAGCACTGTATGAAAAGTGTAATTTCTTCAGAGCACCGTATAAAATGCTAAATTATAGAATGAAATAACAGTTAACATTCTTGGCTTACTTAAATTTCTGCTCCTAAAAACACATACATGTGTGAGCAATCTCATTGATATAAACAAAACTCTTCATGCTCAGTGCTGCTCTTGTGCAAAAATGTCTCAACTTCTGGCTGAGAAGCAGAATACACTAAAACTTTTCCTTTACAGTTACATCAGTTGACATCTATTGTGGAGGAAACCATCTTTGTTTTGACTTGCACGCTGAGGAACAACACAGTACACAGAACACCTATACAGAAACCTGCACAGGCTGCAGGTTTATCTTCAAATACTCAACCATCCTACACTAAGAAAAGCCAATGCTTTTAACAGGTAAAGTTAAACAAAGTAATAATGGAAGCAATTTGGTAAGAAATCATTGAGTATTAAGAAATATTCAGTGAGCAGTGAACACACTGGCCTGCAAAGTGCATTAAGCAAATGTTAATTTTTCTGGACAATAATGCGATGCATGCTTGCATTAATATTCAGCATCAACTGACGTGACAAACTGGCAATACCCTTTTGTCCTACATCTGAAAGCAATCAAACAGATGCAAGTCCTAGTTGACTAGTAAGTTTGCAGGTGTTAATATCAAAACAGACCAACCTTTAGCCCTTCTACTTCGCTTTCCAACTGTTTAGAGTACTGTTCACTCCTCTCTCGCAATTTCCTGTCTTTGGATGCCTCAGCAGCTGCAGCTTCAGCTTGGACTTCCAGCTACAAAAGTACATACGTTTTTAATAGGTAGGATTCTTGTTTTTTGTTTTTTTCAAAAATCTATTGATGGTTTTCAATATAAGAGATAAATCTTCAGCACTAAACTGGACACTTCAAATTCTTAGAAAACAAAATCGGTACTGTTTGAAACAACAATCAAAGAGTTAAAGATTTACAGATAACAAAAAAATTACTTTGTCAGAAAACCTTACATATAGCTACTATTTCATAGATTCTAAACAGTCTTCTCACCACTTACTTCTTTTTTAAGTCTCTCTGTTCTGCGTAACTCTTGCCTTAAACTTTCTACTTTTTGCATCACCACTTCCATTTCTTCCTCCTTATCTCGGAGCTGGCGGGCAAGCTTTTGTTTTTGAGAGTGCAAGTCTGTCAGCCGCTCGTTCATCTCTGAGAACTCCTGCATTGCCAATTTCCGCTGGCTGTGTGCATCTTTCAGCTCTTTGGCTTGGGATTTTAATCTGTCACTAGACTCTGCCAGTTCCTACAGTTTAAAAAAAGAATTAAGTAATAAACCTAGAAAGCTGCAAGGCCAATTCTGTCTTTGGATGCGCATCTAACGCCTTCTCCAGAGTGAACAGAAACTACATATTCATTTCTTTTCATGAATGCATCTACGATACAGATTGTATGCCTCTATAAATAAGGAAAGAGGCCAGGTTTTACACTACTAAAGTTGGTAAAACTGCATAAACGTAAACCAAGTTGGAATTTACTCCATTATTATAGGTTCAACACAAAAGCTTTCAAGCACTTGCATTAAAATATAAAAATACCTTGCTTTCTTCATTAAAAATGTAATTAGCATAGTTTTTCAAGAACTACTTAAGTGAATAAAAAGAATAGTACTTATTCTCAACTGCTAAATGATTAAAAAAAGATTTTGCATTAATTGAATGGAAAACTCTGTTCTATGAAAATTTCTACTTTAGAAGCTTTTGAAAACTGACCTGCAATGGCAAGTATGATTTTCACACACTGTACCATAACACCAAATGCTACAGAAAGTTTCAGGCCACAAAACACTGTAGTGATTAGCAGCAATGTATGATAATTATTCTTTTAAAAGAACCCACATGAAATAACACTGCTAGTGCTGTGATAACCCTACAGCACAATACCTTCACAAAGCTTGCTGTGTCCTAGATCTGTGCTACTACACTACGAATGAAGGACCACAACAGTTTAAATGGTTTAATGACGTTCAGCCAAACCGGAGCAGAGCAAAAAAGCAAGGAAAAGCGAGTCTGAGGATGAAAAGAAGAGTGGCAGGAAGAATTAATATTTGGCACTGTTGACACCTATACAAATTTAAAAGCATTTTCTAAGGTTGTTAAAAAGAGGTCCTAATCACTACAAGTTGTTTTAGAAGAGAGATGGTCTTTCTTGGACAAACTGGCAGCTTTCAAGGTTTTAAGAGGCTTAAGGGTTAAAAGAAACAGCATTAAATACAGCTGGCACATCAACATTGAGTATGGACTCTAAAATACTAGGCCAATATAATCATGATGAGAAACAGGCTAATGTATTTCACACCTGATTACATTTTCAGGTTGACTTAACCATGAATACAAAAAAGAGCCATGAAAGACAGTATGTTTTAAATAAGAAAACAAGGAATCAGGGAGACAGAGAAGAAGAAATAAAACTCAGTATTCTTTAACTGTAGTTATTTCAAGTTGCTTTTCAATCTTCATATTTGGGCAATTTTTCATATCTCTCTTCTGGAAACACTTCTGTGACACAGCCCTAATACCATATTCTTAATAGTTTTTCCCTGCTACAGTCTCACCATTCTTCAGATTAAACTAGTTGTCTGGAATAGTTCTTCTCTACTCTGTCTTCTAACCACTATCATTATCACCTTAATCTGAAGCTATAAAACCTTCTTTGCAGCCACCATGCAATTTGGATCATGGAGTTGTTCACTATCTAGAAGCAGTCACCTAGGACCACCCAGCAATCATACGTACAACACGTTAAATAATGTCCTTGTCTTCAAAAAAGAGGCAGAAAGCAAAGTAGGTCACACAACGCTACACATTTGTTGTCTGCTCATTAATTTTACACTTGAAAGTTATTTCAAGCAAAATGAACAAAAATAAAATAGTCTTTAGGGTTTAGAAGAGTTGCTGACAAAATGCTTTTACCTTATTAAGATCTTCCCTCTCTTGCTTCAGCGTTCTGACCTGTTTCTCAAAAGCCTTTATTTGTCTGGAAGCGTCATCCAACTCCCGCCTTGCAGTGCTGGCCTCCTCAAGTTGCTGTTCTAGCTGACCAGAATCTAGAAAAAGCATCAGACTTCTGAATAGGTTAAGGAAAAAAATCATTATTCTAGAATAGCATAGTCTAGCTGCTTGAGGCCCCTTCAGTACTTGTTCTTGTTTTCATTTAATCACAAAATAATGCAATTCTTATCTGGTTTAGAACAGGGAGTAGGTTGTTTCAACTGCCATTATCTGCTTTTAACACAACAGAATAAAAGGTCACAGCTTGCTGCAAAACAACATAGAAAACGATAACAACTTTTCACATTATAATAATCATGCACTATACATAATTCTGTAATGTATGCTTTAACATGACCTATACATTTGACCTTTATGCACTGTGATGTAATATATAACGCATCTTTTACTACACTGTAATTATGAACAGTTTCCCTCCTCCCCCCACATTCCCCCAGAAAGAAACAGTAGAAGTAACGGGTCACTCAAGAGCTGGCAAATGTTCTCCTGTTGATACACTTAAAACTAACTTCAGATGATTTTACTTATTTCTAGTGTGAAAACCACTTGTGTTTATGTGATCTGCTTTATTACCACTATAAATACATCAAAACTATTACAGCCAGTTTCTTACCAACTGTCAGTTACACAATGAAAGTACATGTCTAAGCCACAGCTAAATAATGTCATATTGATATGCTCAAGTGCTACAACACGAAAAGTTGAAATCCATAAAATATGACAACTGAAAATTTCTAACTGAAAATTTCTAGCTAGTGGGTGTTTTTTCCCCTCCTACTTTTCACTTAAAAACAGAAATTTAAAGCAAGATATGTATGAAGGTAGGTTAATTCCAAGTTCTATGAAATCACTGAATATTTTGCCTTTGATTTCAGTTGTGGCAGGTCTTCAGACCACACGTATTTACCCACAGAACAGGAACCCATCTACACTCTTAATAAGAGCCTTTTACTACATTTTCATAAATGCAACCCTAAGAGACTGGCTCTTGGAGAAATCAAACATAAAAACACATACATTTCTAAGAGCTGTAATTTCTGAAACACAAGAATTTTAGAAGCAAATGAATGCCATTAGCTTATACCCAGACAAATAGTCACTATTATTTTAATTCATTGACTCTTGTTTAAAAATTTAAAAGAATGCATTTAAATAAGAGATGTAGCTCAAAGCCAGAAATTATTAACTGCCTCTCTTATGTAGTCTACGCTGAAGTCACCAGCAAAAAGAAAGTTTATATATGGCTCTGCTGAGCCAAGATAAATCTCTCTTCCGTGCACGAACTACTTTGTTCCACACTCTGTTTTCTTCTTCCATCGCTGCCCTTTACATATTTGGCAATATGAAAGATTCCTCAAAGTTTTCTCCTATGTAACTTAGCGAACAAAAATTATAACTTTGACCTCAAAAATTGAAAGCATATGCTAGCTTGTCATTTCCTGGAAAACTAGATAGACAAGAAAAACATATTTTTCTAAGGTCCCCCTGGTGACGCTACTGAATTTGACACAATTTCATGTTCATTTTTTATTACCTTTTTAAGCAGGTGTTTACTCTTACAGTTCCAGAAGAGGCAGTAAAACAGGTTAAAGAATATAACCAAAAGCTAGTTGTGACATATGTGTAGTCAATGGTAATTTTCCATCTAATCACCCTAGTTGTTGAAACATTTTAGCTAATATATGCAAACACTCACTGTAGGATGTTATTACATTAAATTGCCCAAGAGATGAGCCCAAAGCATAAAGTTCAGCTCTGCACCTGAACTGAACCTTCTTTAAAGTTCATCAGATCTAGATCTGGAAATTTAGATATTTTAAAGGCCACCCAGAAAACCTGGAACTAGCTCCCCTAAACCTGTAAGCATTCAGACATGACCATCATTTGGTTTGTGCCCGTATTCTGTCATTAATTTAGTTTTAAAATCTATCTCACAAAAAAAACCCATAAAAATCAAGCGAAATACAACATTCTCTTTTCCCAGTTTTATCAAATTAGCTTGTATTAGTTACAGCTCAAGGCACAAATGAGTGTCTTCTAACTAATGGCTGGGCTCTGAGGTCGTAGTCTATCATAAGGCATTCAATACTGGGAAAGTTATGTGGCGACTGGGGATGGATTAGACAACTCTACATCTTCCTCATTTGATCACATTATTCACTTCCAACCCCAAAACCAAAAGCACATATTGTATCTAGGAATAAATATAAAAATATGTATGTGGCGTGAAGCAGAAAATTCTTAATGGATACTTAAGGGAAAACCTTCTCAATACTAACTGACTTGTACTGGGAAAGTTATGTGGCGACTGGGGATGGATTAGACAACTCTACATCTTCCTCATTTGATCACATTATTCACTTCCAACCCCAAAACCAAAAGCACATATTGTATCTAGGAATAAATATAAAAATATGTATGTGGCGTGAAGCAGAAAATTCTTAATGGATACTTAAGGGAAAACCTTCTCAATACTAACTGACTTGTTTTAAATGTGAAAGAGGGTATCAGTTGTGCTGGGGAATGTTCCCACACCTTTTAAATTTTTTTTTCATTACCAAAGGAGGAGAGTAATACCTTCAGCAATGAACTAAAATCTAAGTTGCAGCTCAACAGTCAAGAATAAAATAAAATTAAAGCTGATCCTGATGCTCTTCTATGAAGGGATGGTCCCATTCAAAAGCTGTTCTTATAGATGTTGCTTTTCAGTGGTCCCAAAGAGCCAAAAACAGAGCTGCGGATTGCTGCAGAACAGAGGATTCTGATCGTGTTGTCTTCTTCGTCATTACAGCAGCAACTGAAGGGACATTTGGCTGGAGAGAAACCTCACAAAAACCTTTGTCCTGACACAGCACCAACATGGCATCACTCAAACCAGAGAGTGATCCTCCCTGAGCTAGTTAAGCCACGTTCACATCCAAAAATAATGCTTATGGTACAATACAAAACTGCTGCATCATACCCAGCAGCTGTCCAACTGTGTAACAGACTTTTTTCAGTCTACACAATTTTAACAGCAGATAATCTATGTGCTGCAGACTGCAGTTCATACATAGCATGCTTCTGCCCCATAACATAGCAGCAGAGTCTAAACACACCAACTAAAATGTCTGGAAGTTAAGTTCAAGTTATTCTTTCTGTGGGTGTCGCTGCTGGCATTCCTGACACTTTCAGGAACTGAATGAAGTCTTTTCACAAATACAAAGCAGAGCAAATCTTTTTTTGTAGTTTCCTCCAACCGTTCTCTCTGGGTTTTTTCTCTTGCCACAGGTAAGATATGGACATATAATAGAGATCCATCTACCTCTACTTTTGTATGATTTCTCTCTCACATAAAATGCAGACATTTTCCTATTTGGATTGACAAGAGGAATCACATTTGTCCTCCCCGTTTCTATGGCTCTAGTCCTGATACCTAACAGTCTCTATCACTCTTGTTAATTTTCCTAAACAAAAACCACATTGCTATACTTCCTTTCTTTCTCTTTGAAGATGTGTCTGCTCTGAAGATCCTACTTTGAAGAAACTGTTATGGAGCAGGATAGCAGAAGTCCTATGCTATGAATCACTACAAGAGAAAATTCCCTTTAACTTAATTCAGAGCATCAAATCAAGAATACTGAATATTAGTATTAGAAGCTAGCCTTTAAAGTAGGCTAAAAAGATATTAGCTAAACAGACAGCAAATTGGTTCACTAACAGCTATAGTCAACATGGTGGTGCAATAGAAGCTCTCCCTCTGGAAGTTCTTAAAACATGAATTGCCAGAATCTGGGAGAGTAAGGCTGGAAAAAGGTGGATTTGGATATATCGAATTTCTTTGAATCTTTCCCTAAATGTCTCTAGTAGCCTCTGTAAAGACACAGGATATTGGGCTAAGTAGATCTTTGCTTTTTGACTAGTTTGGGAGTTCTAAAGAAAGGCAGTATGACATTAATTAAAGAAATTCAGCTCTTTATCTGCACAGATTTCAAAAAACAGTTTTAAAACTTAAAATACTGAGATACTTGATAAGCCAAGTTTTTAGTTATCATAAAATCTTCATGAACTCTCAGAAGCAAAGGAATTAAATGGAAAGGAAATAAATATTCAGTTTTGTAAGAAATGATAGCTCATTGACAGCAGAGGTGAGAGGTGGTTCTTCCCCCTCCCATCTCCCTTTCCTCGTATGCTCCTGTTGCCCACCTTGTGCTGATTTATCAGATCACGCGTTGATTAAATTCTCTGTATCTAGACAGTTCTTTCCTTGTTTAATTGAATGAATTAAACTCAAGAGAGAGTCTGGGGCATGCACAGAGAAAGGAGGGGCCACACAGCTGTGAGCAGGACCCATTTTGATGGGTCTGATTTTGAGTTTTGTCTGGTCAGTTCTGCTGCTTATGGAACTGCAGCCTTATAGCCCATAGCGTCCTCTCTCATGGAAAACACCCTTCACTACTCCCTGCCACTTGGAAAACTCATTATCATTGTAGTTTCATGCACACAGCCTACCTCCCAGATAACCCACACTTTTCTAAAAGTACTGTACCAAGAAAATACTCAGAAAAATCACATCTCATTTTCCAAGAAAATACTCAGAAAAATCACATCTCCAGTTTGAACTAGCTTTTACTCCGCATCCAGTTACAATGCACTAAGTAACAGCACACTATAAACCTCTGTGGTTTCAAAGAAAACATAAATATAATCAAAATTGTGATCACGTCTCACAAATTCGGCCCTTCCAAGGAAAATTCAACAGAAAATGAGATAATGAAAAGTATCAATTGATGCTTAAATCATAACAAATCACCTGTCCATCAAATATTTTTAAGACTATTAAAACTGCTCGGCTAAAGTCTTCACCTCACGTTTACTCACGCAAAGAAGAAACAACACCTTCCTTCCTTCCGGTTTACTACCTATTTACCCTCATACCAGAGTCCAGAGATGTACAAAGCAAGGAATGCTAAAGGTATGCTACAGTGACTATGACTTCTGAAAGGACTGCAGTGACTTTTGATACTGCCAAAAATAACCAAACCAGTGCTCCATCCGCTCTTGCAGTACACATTGCAGAACGAAGGAAATTGGCCATGGTTTCACGGATTCTCAGGTAGAGCCTGATTCACATCCATGTAAATGAGCAACACCACAATTTAAAACTAGTGGAATTTTACCACTAATAATAATAGCAGAAGCCATTGAAATCTTCCTTCTCCCTTGCAACTGGAATTACTGAAGTACTGAATATTAAGTTGAATTTGTAGAAAATGTTGAGCTACCAATGAAGAGCAAAGGGTAAAATAAGAAGTAAAAATAGACTGGAAGACTATTTTAGAAAGCAGAGTAAAACTAACATTACATTATGAGAAAAAAATCTTGTCAAAATACTGTTTCCTGTTACAGTTTTTACATTAATATTTATAACATACCTGTTACCTGTTTCTTCAACTTTTCAATTTCTTCTTTCAAACTTTTAATTTCTAAATCTTTGCTTGCTGTTATTGGGCCATCTACTGTTGAATACTGCAGAGCCTGGACTGTCTGGGTGGACTCTAGAAAAAGATGGAAGAGAGAGGGACAAGTAACACGCCTGACATCTGAGGAGGACAAAAAGATATCACCAATAAATTAAGACACGCCAAAAAGCACCTCCACTGAGGACTCTACAGTTTATAATTTCCAACTACTAAGTGCCAATTTTTCAGTAATTGTCAGCTGGACAAACTAAGTTCTTAGAGGTTTTAAGAATGAAATCTTTATGCCATAGTAACCAAGGCACAATGCGAACAAAGTTAGCATGTTACAAGAAGTTGCATACATGGGATATTTCAGGCATGAAGAGTAACAGAAGTTTAATTTGTCAATGGAAATAATGAAGAGAATTCTTTTCTGCTAGAAAGCTCTCCAGGAGGTATATTTATTTTTTCCACAGTATAAATCATACCTTACAAAGCTGCAAGCTAATCTGAGTCAAAAAAGTAATCGAATGATTTTTTTTTTTTAGTGTCTATACCTTGCAGTTTTCTACTAAGTTCAAGCTTTTCCTGTTCTAGACGTCTTATTCTCCTCTCATAAGCTTCTGTTGCTAAACTATCCTCCAAAGTTCTTTGAATGCTGGCATCAAGATCCATGGAGGGCGGTCCAGCTGTCAGTCTTAGACAGCTGCGGTCTGAAAGCACACTGGGGGGAAAAAAATTAAAACAGTATTGGATTTTACAATAGGCTGTGCTTAAAGTAATTTTAAAAAAAACTGTATCAACTAATAAATAGTTGTTTAAATTGTGAATTACTATGTAATTTATTATACAGTCAAATAATACCTTGTTAGTATGTGCTCATTAAATATTGAATTCATTTTTACCTAGCATGACCGATCTCCTCAATGCATTTTTTGTTACATAAAAGTGAATGAACTCCTGATTAAAAATGATCATTATGGACAGCCTATGTTAGCCAGATAGCAAAAAGCAACAATCTAGATCATTAGTAAGATTACAATAACAGTTTATTTTAAAATTATTAATCTAGTTTCCCAAATACTTTAAAGACAACAATCACAACAAATGATGTGAAATTATCACATGACAGCTAGGGCACATACACATCAGAAATGCTGTGGCCCTGATTCTGTGGATACTCATGTACACATACTACTACTTATGCAAACAATCCTTCTGACGCCTACAGGACGTCACATAACCAGCATTACATGTGTTTGCAGAAACATAGGCCTGGTTTTTCAATGGTTGCAAACATTCTTTATTTATTTATTTTCATCAATGATCAAGGAGTATACATGGACTTCCTTGTTACTGTTTAATTTAGCAGTAGAGACGAACACGACAAATACCACATTAATACCAAATATCAGTAAAACTATTTTTTTTAAATTTCCATTCAGACTTACAAGACTGTCAAAGAACTAGAAATAAAACCGTTTTTTAAGTCTAATAAGCTAAGTTCTCTCTGAGTCCACACATCTGGTCTTAACTTTGTCATATGCCATTAACTTCACACATTGTCTGAAAACCACCTTTCTCAACAAAACTCCTCTGAACACAGGTGCTGACCTTTAAATTCATGTAAATTTTACCTGCAGAGTGCTCATTCTTTTGGACAGACAGCATTTTAGATTATGGCCTAGTAATTTCCTCAATAAACTACATTCTTTGGTATCTGCAGTTGGTTTCAGAGACAGAAACGTAAGATATTATGTAACTATCCTACAGACAATTTGGGAACTCTTAACTTACCAGCTACTTGTATATGTGAAACCCACAAATGGTAAATGATGGCCAGAAAATGCAGTGTGTGACGGTGGAGGCATTGTTTCCTAGAAAAATAACAGGACAGTTGAGTAAGTAATATCCTAATGGACTTAAAAGAAAAAGATTTTCGAGTTTAACCATATGTGAAGTGTTAGCGATAATATCATATTAACTATATTCACAGTCATCCTTATCTACAGCCCAAATATGAAATGGCATCACCTAAATCTATTTATAATAGCATGCAATTTACAAAAATACAGCATGCTGGCATAAAAATGCTTTTCCAATTAAATAGGCTATTGTTGGAGGAAAGCAGAATATTACACATATTAAAAGCCAATTTATTCCTTCGTTTTTTCCAAGAAGCTCTTAGCACAAAGAGTATCACCTTCTATTCCCTCCGATACTCCTCTCTGCAATTTAGTCAGCAGGGCTTCCTGCCTGTAGATTTACCAACCCCACTTCTGAGTGGGCTATCTCTATTTGGAGAGAACAAGTCAGACATTTACTAGAAAGAAGTAATACAACAGGGTTTTCTAATCCCATTAGCACTTTGACCATTTCTTCCTTCGTTGCTCCTTTTTCCTGCCAGACAAAGAACTACAAACCAAGACAAATCTTTGGGCTTCTCCTCAGGTTAAAATAACCCTGTTGCTATATTATTCGAACCATTGTAAGTTCTGATATTCTTAAATATCCTGTTAAAAGTTTCCTGTTTAACCCCAAGATGCAAGGTTTATGTTGCTATACTAGACATGGCCTTAACGGTCATCAAAAGAAACTCCCTAAGAAGATTATCACACTGAAAATGCTAAAAGGTTCTAAATTTTAAGAAAAGGTAACATAACGAATTTTTTCAAACCAAAAAAAATTTTTACATGTAAAACTCAGCAGGAGAGAACAAGCCTGTATTCAAAAGAAATCAAAAATTACCTTTTCAGTGGCGGCATCAGCTATATTACCTCACCACCTTGACCTTTTAGCAGACAAAAATCTTCACATTGAAAAAGAGTTCCCAGAATAAAAAGCAACACCAATGACATGGCTAGATTGTGTAAGTACATCAAGTCTACACTGTTGGGCATTTTGGAAACTAAGGACAAGACCAAATTACAAAGCCTTAACTTTCCAGTAATTGATAATAAAAATATAAATTATTACACACTATGGTTAGGAAAAGTAAAATTCTTTACTTCTCCTTTATATTTTATTTTCATATTTCATAGATTCGCGGTTCAAAACCATCTTTACAAATAACTTTTAAAAAGACCAAATGCATAATTGTGTGATTTTAACAGCCCATATGACAGTTTTCAGTTACCACACAGGTAACAATGTTGGTCCTAAAATATCCTATCTATTGATAACGATTTAAGAGTCTGTAAAAGAATTTGTTTCTTTGCTGATTCTTTGGCAGCGATCAAAATACTTATTTCCTGCTACTTGTGTGAATTCAACTGTATTATCATACTGACAAAATTATAACTGAATCTACAACTATCATGCCTATCAGTAAGGCTACTAAACCAAACAGTTAAAAGCTAAAAACCTGCAGAACTTAGGCCGCCTAATAATATTGTTTTGCCCTTTGTGTTTACGTGTACTTTTAACATACTGTTTGAATTTCATTATTACGTATGCAATTTTTCCCTGGGACCACAGTCTCATTCCAAGTTCAGGCAGAACAATAACAATCATGGCTTTTCAACCCTGCTTTTTATCTTCAGCACTGGCATTCCTCATTTGCTGTATGCCATTCAAACCTTGCAAAGAATTTAAAAGAAAAAAAAGTCTCATGGGCTTATCCGTGGTGCTGACTTCTGTAGTAGTAATGCAAGTATGTGAACTTTCCTCACAAGATGCTTATGACAGATGGCAGGGAAAACACCTCCAAGTTACACATAAGAATTTGAGGGGAAGCAATATTAAATACAACGTCGACTAGTTGAAGCAAAAATGTAAAATATCCTCAGTCATGCAATGCCTCAGGCTAGGGTTTTTTCAGAGATGCTAGCTGCGAAAAGAAATGGTATAAATTAAACAAACAAAAAAAAACCCCTTCACATGTTTCAAATGAGGAAACTGAAAATGAAGCTCCAGAAACCAGTGTTCATCTTGAACAGTTCAATGGCATTGCTTTTCACCCCCAGAAGTCTAAAGCAAATTAAGAATTGGACTCTGTTTTCACATCTGAGTCCAATAACTCCTCACAGGAGCATTCTTTCTTCACCTGCAGCTCCCTGCCTTCTTTACAATGGGAAAACATTCACACTGCACAGGCACCTTTTGAGTGCCTCAGCTGGGAGATTAGGCTCTAAAAAGGAAGACCCCTGGACTGGCCAACATTAGAATGTATGAATAACCTCCAAAAGGTATTGCAGCTTCACAAACATGACTTCACAAAGACTTGCTACACACAGCATCCATTCCTGCCACCCAACCCTGATAGCTGTTCCTGGACAAAATAACGTGCAAACAGGTATCTGAAGACTATATAAAACAGTTTTAAGATAAAAATACTTTAGCTGTGAAGGGAGATAGGCAATACCAGATGCAAGTGAGGAAAAACTGAGGAAAAAATGAAAAAAATGCAAGTTGTCCTACGCGGCTAGACTGATTTGCTTAATTTGCCTATACGAAAGGACTCAGACCTAATGCGCCACACCACATAACGTCTACCACTGGATTTCATCTAGTCAAAGTGTTTTCCACGTTTTACTGTGCAGTTGGAGGAAATGGAATGCAAATAATGAACATCCTGCCTTTATGAATTCATGTTGCCTAACACTCATCTGCAGGTCCAGGAAGCTCAGTGGAACTGAGAAGCACAGGCATTTCAGAAAACAAAAGCAAAAATTGTGAAAATGCTTCACCTCGCATGTAAATAGCAGGTTTCTGCATCTTTCAACAAACACCAAAAAAAAAAAAAAAAAAAGTATTTCCAAGGAGACAACACAAGGCATTCCTCTGATGCTAAGACCTCTATCATCTGTCAAAGTTCCTGTTCCAAAGTTTCTGTTAGCACAGAAACACTAACGTCGTTAAATATCAATAGTTGCAAAGCTTTTTAAGCAAAGGCAAAATCATTTGTTTCTCACTAAGATTGTTCCTGAAGAAATGGGAAAAAAAAAAAAAGTATTTCCAAGGAGACAACACAAGGCATTCCTCTGATGCTAAGACCTCTATCATCTGTCAAAGTTCCTGTTCCAAAGTTTCTGTTAGCACAGAAACACTAACGTCGTTAAATATCAATAGTTGCAAAGCTTTTTAAGCAAAGGCAAAATCATTTGTTTCTCACTAAGATTGTTCCTGAAGAAATGGCTGTAACATTTCTCCTAAATTTCCCAAAACTCAACTCAAGTCAGAAAACGGGCTGGAAAAAATTTAGTGGGAACGAACTGAATGGTATCTGACAGAGGTATGAGCAATTAAGAGTAGAGCACTACAATAAAATGCATTATGAAAACTTCGTACAAGTCTCAACAATGCTCTGCTAGAAATACTGTGTCTTGCAGACTATCTACATGTAAATATATTATTCTTTATAAGACCTGGACACTAAGAACTAGTTACTGGAAATAACAGATGTATGTTAGTTAAACACATGTAAAGTTACAGTGAATTTACAAAACTGAACTGAAGTCATTCTTACACATTTATGTTTGGAGGAACAGCCTCCGAACTATGAATGTATTCCCCCCACAGTTCTTCAAAGCAGCACTTTGTTGTTTATGCAAACACAGTGAACACACTGAAATAAACTGCCATTTACATATATTTTGTTGCAAAGTATACTACAAAAGCAGATTTGTCAAAATGTTAATCCCATACTTACAGAATTTTTTAAGCAATCATCATCCACATCAAAGTTTGATGTATCAGTGGGGCTGCTGACTTCTGGGATGTAGGGTGCCTCACAGTTTCTAATGTTGTCCCAATCAATCCCAGCAAAAAATGGATGGTTCTTGAAGTCTTCTATCCCATTTTGTCCAAGTCGATGCTCTCTGCTACAAATGAGCCTTCGGATGAGGTCCTTTGCACTTTCAGAGACATCTGTCACTTGAGCAGGAAACTGAAACCTCTCCTTAAGGATTAAAATAAGAGAAAACAGTTTATTACCAAGAAAAAGTTGGGAAAATCACCCTTCTTAGTGGAAATTATTATGTAGAAAAAGAAACGTGCAAATACTCCGGTTCTTAAACATATGCAGTAAGGTTTCTACGAAAAAGGCTTTCCCAAAGGATAGAAACTATGGAAATTTTTTTGTCTCCTAGTTTTTCTCCTTTATTTAAATTTCTCTTACACTGCCGAATTCTACAGCTACCTCCATGTGGAAGAACATTTAAGAATCTTCTGCATAAGCCAACCAATGGATCCCGCCAGAAGAAAGTAACGCAAAAGGAGTGATGTAATGTAGCCAAGATTTACTCCATAGAGTGAACTAACAGCCATGTTACCAAATCCAGATTTTTAGTTTTAACTGCTTTATCCTAAAGCAAAGCCATCTGCAATCCATAACCATAAACTTACTATATGGAAACATATTTTTTGTTCTACATTTATGAACATTAACTCAATTAGTACGTAAAAACTCATTTTTAAATAAGCCTCCAAGTTACCCTATCACTTATTAAAAATTAGCTGAGAGAGAGACAGAAAGAGAAAGTGCACTAACTTTGTGGTTCATTATTTTCCCATAGGTCTCCACCAAGGACTCAGCATAAAAGGGCGTTTCTCCATAAAGCATTTCATACATGCAAACGCCTAGGGACCACCAGTCACACTCGGGCCCATACTTCCCTTTTCCATCTTCCATGGCCTGCAAGATTTCTGGAGAGATGTAGTCTGGTGTTCCAACTGCCACTGAAGATTGGACCTGTAGAAGTTACATTTCCAGGACTAAAATCAACTTCCATCGTTACAGACACTGCTGCTTGTGGCACTGTGCATGTATATATAAATTTAGCCTAGCGTTCTGGTTATAGCAATAACAACTAAACACAATAAAAAGGCTTCTAAATTCATAAAGAAATACGTAAGCATCCAAGGCACTACAGTAATAGGCATCCAAATAATCCTTTTGCTCAACTCTTACAAATATTTAATAACAGAGAAAGAACAAAACTGTCAATTCTTAGGCTTAGAGTTGTTATTAAGTAATTATAGATTAGGTAATCACATATATTAACTCAAATACTTTGTAACACTCTGGGTCATGATTAACACACTGGAATTACATTCTAGTCACACCTACTATATACTGTGCAAGTTTAAATATACTACTAAAATATGATATATTAATTGTATCTCATCCTGCTTATTCTAAAGCTTACATTTTCAATAAAGATTAGAGCTCAAAGCTCAAAACTGAGAGATTCATAGTTCATCAACAAATACCTACTCAGTACTGATAGTGCAGCTTCTCTTTATTTATTCATGAGTTGACCATATGCATCTAAAAAGCTTTTAATAAACAGTAAATCCAAGCAAAGTGCAGTCATATTTTGAACCAAGGCTAGTTACATATCAATACCATCACAATTCCATTTCGTTTGACATAAGGCACGTTTTCTCTTTATTACCACACATTTTAGCAGCTAGCAAAGGACTGAAGAAAAGGTGTTTAGGAATATATCACTCTTTCGAATTTACCGTTCCATCTTCCATCAGTTTCAGACAAGAACCAAAATCTGCTAATCGAATATGTCCATTCATATCCATCAAAATGTTGTCTGGTTTAATATCCCTGCAAATAAAACACATTTCAGAATTAGTACAAAAGTGTACTGCGTAACGTATAGTCCAAGCATTAACTCTGCAACACCCTTATCATTCAAAACCAGCAACAGATCAGTAGATAGAACACAATCACTCATCATATGATGAAATTTGCACCAGGGACATTTCATGACAGGGGCTGTAGATCAAGTCATATAATGCCTGTTAATTTTAGTAAGAATTGTGTGGTCAGATTTCTCTCAACTCTCACAGGTAGATAGGAGAATCTTACTCGCTCTGAACTTTTGTAGGTAAAACTTTTAAATCCTCTAAAGAATTTTAGCGAAGAACTCTCAAGTCAAAGATGCACGCTTATACTGGAGCTGTGAAACAACCTCTAAGTTTTACTATAGAACAAAGGTCAATGAAACCCTAGCATAATTAACGCATTTTTAAATTTAGTATCTTTCATCAACATTTTTCTCTCACATACATCTCGGCTCATGATGTACGTCTGCCATACTTCTGCTGAAATACCAACAAAGCCATTGTACACACTGATGCAGCTCTGCTTGGCCAAATTCTGCAGCTATCTCATTCAGGTCATGATACACATCAAAAAATGTTTCTAAGAAGGCAACATAATAAATACTCCTTACTTTGCAAATTTGACTCTTTTTTTGGTCTCGTGTTTTACAGATACCCAAGTATACTGAAATATAGATAAAGTGTATACCCCCAGCATGCAGCTGACTAGGACGAAAGCATCTATACTCTCTAAGTTACCAGAGGAGCATTTCTTGTTCAACTTGCAAACTAGGTTCAAATGTTGAAATTCCTTTCCATTAAAATACAGTTATTGGAAATATCCATTAAGCTACATTTTTTAAATATATGACACTCTTAGTCTAACTTTATCTATTATATTCAAAAGATAAAACACAACTGTATGAATAAAGTACTATAAATACTTTCTCAGTGAACAGTCACTTATAAGACATAACATCAAATCCCCTAAACCAAACAAAAAAACCAAGTGAAGCCCTGACTTTGCTTCATTCCCCTAACAACTTACAAATTAATGTCATCAATCGCTTTGCAGACAAATTTCAAAATATTCACAAACTAAGATACTCACATTGCACATGACAGCAAGGTTTTGTTGGTTTTGGTGTTTTGGGTTTTTTTAATAGACTGAGTTATAAATTATGTTTACTGAGAATTTAATATGGCAAAAAAATTAGAACCACGCCTTGAACAACATTATAGAAGCAATGGCATGAAGGTGTCACACTGTTACACACTCAGTGACAATTGATATGGTAACAGTATGTTGTTTTGAAGAAAAGTAAAGTACTTTCTGAATTTGTGTTACCCAAAAACAAGCAGGTAGTGGCCCATGTTGAAAACAAATTTTAGCCACCTTGTAAATGTTTCTGCATGTTTGGAAAGTAAAAGCAAACACTACTTAAGAAATCATACTTTTGCCTCTCACAACTGAGCATAAAGACAATTCTTTACAAAATAAATCATAAAAATTAACTGAGTCCATTCTCTAAATAACATTCTTCTACTTGATTTTTGCTGACACTGAATATGCCACAGAATTGCAACCTCCAGATTGAGATAGTTTTATTTATTTTACATTCACCCACCAAAAACATTCCTTAAACATGTTCCTAAATAAAAACAAACACATGCTATTGAGACCTCTGGAATTATAACTTCAATTTAAAACACTTTGCAAAAACATGCACCTAAAAATCAAGTTCCTCTTAGAAGCTGGACCTAGTTCAAGCTAAACAAAAACATGAGTCACCCTTGAGGCTCCATTTATCCATGTTCTATCTTTTAATGCATTCCCAAGAGAAATCATCATCATCATCATCATCATCCCAACCTCCCCCATTCGATCTCACAGAACAGCAGAAAACATGAAAAATCTCACTCTGTTGACAACACTGTGCAAAAACAAACCTGCAAACATTGAAAGCACTCAGAGGAACAAGTATTTCTTGCAAAGCGAAGTTTGTAAGGCTCAGTAATAACTTCATAAGAACAATTTTTATAGTTAAGGAAAAAAAAAGAGACCAACTTAATGCATACAAATTCTTTTCAGCTCTTGTAACAGAAGGTAGGGGTTATCTACAACTGTTCTGAATTCAACTGAAAATTAATAAAAGACAGTTTGAAAGACAAGAATTGCTGGCACCTGTAGAGCAGAGTAGGCTATAAGCAAAGGGAAAGTTAAGAAAATTATGAGCTCCAGAGGGGAACAAGGAAGGGGAGTAATTATTGCCAGTGTAACTGAAGAGTTCGAAGGTGGTGATTATGGGGAAAAATACTATGTCATAAACCCCACATCTCTACTGAGCCTGCAGTTGTTAGATTCCACTAGAATTATGAGTTTTGTTCTAGGTTTTTGTTTTGAATGACATTTGGTGACTCTCCTTTAGTGATCAGAACCGATTCTTCTCCTGTTCTAAACAGAGCATGGTCTTCCCTCTTCACACCCACTCCACATTCCCTGACTTACCCCAGTTTCTTCACTGTATGAACTTGTTCCCTCTTCCCACGCTTCCATCTCGGCTGCAGGTTTTTTCCTATCATCCCCTGCCTCCTGGAGTCACCTCAAAAGTTCAGATGTCCAATCCTCCACGGCCTATCAAACCCGAATCTCCTCCCCTTTTATTTCCTTCTTTCACTCTCAGCTTCTTCACTCCTAAGTCCTAGTATCCCTGCATGTACGCATTTAACAAATGTCTTTTTCTCCCATCTCTGTTCTCAGCAGTCAGTATTTCCCCATAGTCACTTCCTAGATTCTCTTCCCAGTCCCACTGTCTTCCTATTCCTCTAATCCTTACTATCCTCTTTCCTCATGTCCAATTTTTGTTCTGTTGCACAGGAATCTTCTTTGGCACTAGAAGAACTAATTGGCACTTTGGCACTTTGGAACTAATAAGAGCATTATTAACAACAAAGAGCCTCCGCACTGTCTCTAGTGTCTATTTACCAACATCTCCCAAAATTGCAGGGCAATTCCCTTCATTCTTACAGCTCTGAAACTGCAAACCTACAGCAGAAGAAAACTGAAAAGCATTTAGGGACCAAACCCTGCATATGGCTGTTTGAGACTCATAACAACTGGCATACTGGGGGGGAAATTATAACCTGAAAATATCTAGGTGGGGGCCAGAAGAATGAAAATATGTCAATAACTCAAGGAAGATTCTCTCCTGGATTTCAACAGTGCCTCCATATCCCAGAGCAGCAGAATTTCTCACAGGGCTTGTAAGAATTATTTTATTCATTTAAAATCTATATATGAAAAAGCAATGCATGTTTCTTGATCTTGTTCCTGGAAAGAGACGACACTTACTGCTTCAGGCAGATACAAAGGAAGGAAAATTCCAGACCAAGTAGCTAAAATCTGGCAAAAGTAATGAGCAAATAATGAGAAGTTATATGGTTTAGTGAATAGACCACTGGGCTGAATCTCCATAGATAAGAGTTGCTGGGTGATTGTGGGCAAAGCATTTCAACACCACTCAACGATAACACTGGTGGCTCAGTCAAGCAACTAGTATCAATTGGCTAGAAGGCTATGGAGCACTAAGACTCTAATAACCCTGTAATTAGTTCACTATAATAAAAGAAAAAGGTCTGCTCAACTGAAATATGAAATAATAATTCCGTTTCAATAAGTATAAGCATAAGCATTTGGAAGCCATTTTATGAACCAGATTTATAGTGGGAACAAGTATTGAACTGGGGGAATTGCTCTGACACCACTGTGCCCTCTGGAGACCCTAAGTTCTACCAAGTCCCAGACAGTTCAGCCCTAGTCTTGAGAGCAGCTTCTGTGGGAAGTCCAATGTGCAATGGATACAGGTTGCCAGAGTTAGACCTGGTACAAATCAAGCTAGTACAAGTTCCTCAAATGTACTCCACAGTGAATTACGGGGACACGGGTACCCAGCATACCCAAAGAAACACAAACCTTTCTTAAATCAACTGTTTTGTAGCATTGCCACCTGAGGATGTGAACCGAGCAAAGACTGCTGTTCTGCTTTTTTTTGAATGAGTGATATACCAGCATCAAGGGAGCCAGAAGTCCGGGCCAAATAAACTTCTTTAAAAACATGTATGTCCGTTTAAACCATGACTCCAACACAGAGTACAGGAGTGCCTTCTATTTTTCTGAGCTGCATTGGCCTTGACTGTAGGAGAAAATCAGCACTGCACAGCAGCTTGGATAAAGTGATGCTCTTTGTTTTGCAGACTTTTGTTATTTGCTTCTGTTCATCGGGAGAATGCTATAGGAATAAACAGTCTGTGTGATACTGGAAACTTCACTTGCACAGAAAAATGAGTGTGGAGATTTGAAAAATCTTTAACGAATCCTTTTTCATAATGCTTCTTGGTTTAATATGGGGAGCTGTGCTTCAGATTGGCATGTTTACCCGGATGACTTCAGTCACCTCTCTTTAAAACTGTTTACTTTCTTAAGCCATAATTAAAACCCAAACATTTTACATACTAACTGTGTTAATATAAACAACATTCTGAAATGGGACTACAGCAGACATCTGGATTATTGCCATTCATTTTGATTTCTCTGTTAATGAGCCAGAGTAGAATTTCATTTGTTCAGTAAGACTGAAGAAAAAGTATTCCCTCTGAGACGTGCTAAATCCATAGCACATTCCAGCTGTAAAACAAACTAAAGAGAATTTTTAAGACATCTGAATGTATTTTTTTTTCCTGGATTCATTTCTGATACTAAACGAAGCTTCAGGAATCGTGAGGTCTTGCATATTGAAATTTGGACTAGACAACCTCCTTAAGTTCCTTCCAACTTGAATTATCTGATCATCTTATGGTTTCAAAGTATACCTGCTCCTGAGGTTCATCTCTGTCATTCTTTGAATCATTGAAACAATGTTATTCAGTTATTTGCAAGACCACATGGAGTTCCTCAGGTCTACAGCACAGGAAGCAGCAGATTCCAGAAGAATCTTAAGTTAA